GGATGGGGCAAACCCTTAATAGCCGCATGCAATGCATGCGGAATAGCATGTTTCCAAAATTAAAAAAAAAAAAAAATCTCTTCTCCATCAAAAAAAAAAGAAAAAAAAAAGAAAAAAATGTTTTTTTTGGTCGCCGCAATTTCCTTCAATCATCACAACTCCTCATTCAACACCACTTCCCGGACTTTTTCTATTTTCTGCATTATTTACAGAAATTCGCCTCCAATGGCACTCCCCTTCGCCTTCATTTCTCTCTTTCTTTTCCTGGCCTTTGTTTTAAGTCTCATCAAGGGATTGAAGGGATCAAAAACAGCCCAGAAACTACCACCATCTCCATGGAAGCTACCTTTGATTGGACATATGCATCATCTGGTAGGTTCCCCATCGCATCAAGGTCTCAGGGACTTAGCTCGGAAGCATGGAGCTTTGATGCACCTTCAGATGGGTGAAATTCCTTCAATTGTTGTATCATCTCCACGTTTAGCCGAGGAGATTATGAAAACACACGATCTTTCCTTTGCCGATCGGGCGGAGTTTCTTTCAGGTGAAATCATAAGCTATAACTTTACTGATATTGCCAGCTGCCAATATGGTGATTACTGGAGACAAATGCGTAAGATATGCACCCTGGAACTTCTAAGTGTTAAGCGTGTCCGATCATATGGCTCCATCCGGCAAGAAGAGGCTTCTGTTCTTGTTGCATCGATTAAGGCTCTGGCTAGTGCTGGAGAGCTAATCAATGTTACGGAAAAACTAACCTCATATACAAGTTCTACTGTTTGCAGAGCAGCATTTGGGAGAGTAAGCAAAGATAATTACTTGGCATATTTGCCATTAGTCAGGGAAATAAATAGCCTTTGTGGTTCTTTCAACATTCCTGACCAGTTTCCATCCCTCAAGATTCTTCATCCGCTCATGTCACTGAAGGCTAAGCTGTTGGATGTCCACCACAAGGCAGACAGAGTTTTGGACCATGTAATTGAGAAGCATATAGCAAAGACAGAGCCAGGCATAGGTGAATCTGACCAAGAAGATCTAGTTGATGTTCTTCTAAGAGTTAAAGAAAGTGGTAACCTTCAGTTCCCAATTACCAACGATAACATCAAAGCTGTTATCATGGTAAGATTTTTTCCCTTCTTCACTTCTGGTACTCTTTCAGGTTCATTTATTTTATCAAACACGCTGACTTTAAAGATGAAGAACCAAGTATTTAGACTCTAATGTTAGTGAAAGCGTGGAGGAAGTAAATCAACGCCCTTCGAGTTCTAAGTTTTAGCTTCATGATTAACTTGCCTGTTTTGTTTGTAACAAAGAATTTTGGCATTGATGCAGGATATTTTTTCAGGGGGAACTGAAACTTCATCTACAACGGTGGAATGGGCGATGTCCGAGCTGATGAGAAATCCAAGAGCGATGGTCAAGGCACAAAGTGAAGTACGGAATGCCTTCGTAGGAAAGAAAACAATTGAAGAAACTGATATTCAAGAATTGAAGTTCCTAAAGTCAGTGATCAAAGAAACTTTGAGGCTACACCCTCCCGTCCCTCTGTTGGTTCCCAGAAAATGCAGGCAGGAAACTGAGATTGATGGTTATACCATTCCCATCAAGACGAGTGTTATAGTCAATGCCTGGGCAATCGGAAGAGACCCCGAGTATTGGGATGATCCAGACAGCTTCAAACCAGAGCGATTTGAAAACAGTTCCGTTGATTTCAGTGGATGTCACTTTCAATATGTTCCATTTGGTGCTGGAAGGAGGATTTGCCCAGGAATTTCATTTGGTTTAGCAAATGTTGAGCTTCCTTTAGCTCTTCTGCTCTACCATTTCGACTGGAAACTCCCAAATGGTCTCAAACCCGATGATTTAGACATGACAGAGACTATGGGAGTAACTGCGCCAAGAAAAGACAATCTTCGCTTGCTTGCCACTGTGTACGATGCATCACTTGAAGTTAGCGCAGAAACATAGAGGATGGGTACTTGTAGTGAATATGTGAGAACTGAGAAGTGGCTTGCTAGTCTTTTGCTGTATTCAGTCTGCTTTAGGTTAATTTCCTTTAAGATATAATAATGATATTTGCTTAATAACACTTTGCACTAGTGTTTTAATACAATAAAAAAAGATGCGTTTGTTATACTTTTACAGAATTTGTAACGTAGAATAGCAGTAGCCTGGCAGACGCTTTTGAGTCTCAAACTCATAGACGCTATTCTTCCGATTTTTTCATATTTCCAAATAAGTTCCTAAATTAACTTAATTAAAGAATCAGCCCAATGCATCCCCAAACTCTAACCACCGTATCGCTGCATGTCTTTCAATTAAAAAAAAATCTGATGTTTCACTCGACGCTTTAATATGATGGATTCAATTTCGGTTTTACAAAATTCGATTGGATAGCTTTGGATGCATGAATTTTTTATTTTTTTTTTTAAACACCTCGAAAAGTCTTGGATTTCATCATAATAGCTTTTGGTGAAATATTTTCTATGTGAAGTGGTGGAAGTGAGTAGAGACTCTGTAAGGTCGGTGGAGGGAGTGTTGGGAATATGAAAATTTAGGAGGGGGATTATATTAATGCTTTTATATTTTCATGTTACCGGACAAACACGCGACTTGTTTTCGTACAAATGTCGAACGGTTGAGAAGCATCACTAACTTGGTTTCAAGTTTTATGTCGAGTTTTGACCAGTACATACATTTTTTTTGTTTGAAGAAAAAAAAGAGAGAGGACGAAAGAAAGAGAAGTATGAGAATACCAACAAAAAAGGGTGAAAGCAAGCATTTGTTCTTGAAAAATTCATGAATAATTACGTCTTGATATAAATAATGAAATTTAGCAATTGAAAAATTTATTAGCTTTTTGAGTTTTTGTTGGATTTGAATTTTATCCCACAAACTATTTATTTGTTAGGTTTAGATTTTATCCCACCAATCATTTATGAGATAAAACCCAAATCCAACAATTTCATTTACCATAGTAGTAGCGGATAAGGAACCACTCGAATTACTTATTGAAATTGTAATATAAAATTTGGAAGAAATAAAGAAGGATATTTTTTATGAGAAGATATGAAGCATTTATGGTACATATTGTTTCTCAACCTAACTATCATCACTACCTATGTCAGAGCATTTGTGGACTTTTTTGGCTGAATATTGGGCAACCTTCATCTCTTTAATTTCCTTTGATACCTTGGGAATTTGGCTAATTCGAAGAGTAGCACTGCCTCTTTTTGATCTTTTACGTGACAGACAAAATGGCAGTTTTAGAAACCACAATGGTGATATTATAGCAACTAAGCATCAAATAAATATGACCAAAAAACAAAACAAAGACTACAAAATAATGGCTAGGAAAACAGAAGAAGAGACAAAGAGAACGAACAACATATAAAAACATTAATGTCAAAGAAAAGTCTAATAAGAAGATATGTAGGAGAGAGCAAAACAAAAGAAAAGAAACACAAAAAATCCTAGCACAAAGATAACCACACAGAGGAACTCAAGAAAGCACAAAAAGACCAAAATAAATAAACAAAACACTGAATGAGGGAAAGGCAACAATGAACAACAATAATAGGAAAGGGAAATAGGAAGAAAGAAAGCCGAAGATCATTGAAGGCGGAAAAACAGGCAGCAATGGAAGATCCCTTCAACTTCATTGCTTTGTTTCTTTTCCTATCCTATCCCTTGGTATAGCTTTTGTCAACCAAACGACAAGATGCAGTTGTAACTTATACCAAGATTAAGGATACGATACATATGCAGTCTGATAATTTCTATAGTACTTTAATTTTTACAAATCGACCTTGAAATTGGTTAATATTCTCAAAGTGATCTAGAATATTAAATTTCAAAAGAACTCACTGTTTATAATTTAATCAATCATAGAAAAGTATAAATTTTAGCACATATTACCATGACCATTTCTACATATCAAATGTATAAAATCTTATTACAAATTTTAATTATTACTCCTTGCAAATGTTTGTTTCTTGCTATTTTTTAAAAGAGTAAATTTTATATATACTGACAATGTATACACTATCATCATTGGATCTATAATATATGTGCAAAAGTTAAATTTTACGTTCAAAACAATTGAAACAACGAAATAATGGTGCACAACCATTGATGCGTGTGAAAGTTGCATTTTAAACCAAACACAACGTATTATATTGTTGTGAGAAATGGTCCTACAACATATCGGCAAAATAAATATAACTCGTAATTGCATCTTTGGATTAAAAGATGCCCATAAATTTAAGGAAAACATGAATGGAAAATTTTAACATATAGTTTGTCCTCCCAAATCTCACATGGGATCCTCAGTGCCACTTTTTCAGTGGTAATTCAGTACCACTTTTATATTTATGTCAAGTGTCCTGTTTATTTAATTTGTCATGTGCTGTTTATTTAAATTTCTTCTACCATCAAATGATAAATGGGATTGACACTGAATTTGACACTGAACAGTGGCATAGAGGATCCCAGCTGCCCAAATCTACGTGTTGAATGACTTGTGCCCATCATGACAATCATGTGACAATCGGACCCCTTTGTTTTTCCAACAATAATAGGGGTGTCTTTATTGGACCAGGGTGGACCAGGTTGCACCGTATCATGTGGGCCCCACAAATGGGCCCACATCTGGTCGTTGAGCATAGTGGCCATTTATCATTTACTAGGAGGAGAACACCGCGACGATGCGCAGTGTAATTTTCAGGCTTGCCCAGAAGCATCCTGTTATTCAAATTAAAATATTAATTATAAAAAGTAAAATCTTTGCAACATTTACTAAAAGGACATCAATTAACCCATCTTATTTTGTAATAAAAAGATGGCTTCAGAGTTCAAATTATTGTTTTACCGAATGAAATAAAAAAGTAAAGTTAAAGACAGTGACAAAATATTCATCCAATCAAACAAGAAAATTTCACGAAGAAATGCCATTGAAGTTGGCAATATAAAACTACATCCTCTAATAAACCATCAAAAAGTCAGAAAATTTGATTTATTGATGTCCTTGATGTCCTTTAAGGATCATCATCATTACAAAGAACTAAAAAATAGCTATATTACCAGTGGGAATAATGTAAATTACCTAGCAACAAGCACTCCTACCAAACCTGTGTGAATTCAATTTTCGTAAATATCCCCATTTTTTGTTTAAACAATTTTGCTAGATGGGATTCTAGTAGCTGGCTCGTGGCCCTTTGGGTATTTGACCGGTTCATTCTGTCGTCTCTCAAAGGATTGTTGCGACAAGAAGTGGTGCTCCCGTTACTGTCTGTACAACGATGTTTACGGCTAAGTTCTGGAGGTAAAATCTGCTTTACTTCGCCTCTTATTGCTTCGAACTAAAAGCAAGATTAATGAAGAAAGTAAGTTCCTTGATTATCAAAATGTCAAAGAAAGAATGAGATGAAGAAAGTTAATAACTTTCTCAGACTTGAACTTTTGTGCTAAACACACACTCACGCACACGCACTCTGACAGCTCTAACATCTTATATTCTCATTTCTCCCTCATAAAAAATATGCACATTGCAAGAGGTCAGAAATTGATCATAGCTTAAGAAAGCATTTATATGTTAAGAATCTGAGTTTACAACAGAAAGATCATGTTAGAAAATGAAAGAAATTACCTCTTGAAGCAGCAGATCAACGAACATATGAACCTCTCTTGGCTCCTTGTGCTATCATAAAAGGAGAAGCTCAAAACATTAGCCAAACTTATGAAGGGTATAGATTTTGAACTATTCACTGCAAAAATTTTACAGAATTAACTAACCTTAACCCAGTTTGGTGTTGTAAACTTCGTCCGCAACAGAACTGATATCTTTTGAGTTCTTAACCTTACATACTGAAAGAAAAAAATAAAGTACTCAATGGCTACTTTTTACATCAGATTCAGAAATTTATATTTACTTTAAGCAAGGATTCCACTTCCATCTTCCATTCTCTTAGGCAAGATATGGCCTCAAAGGATCTGATTGTGTCCATAATCTAGTGAGCTAGGGTAATAGTCCTCCAAAATTCACTACACAAATGTGAAAAGTAGAGATTTTGCATGTAGAAACTAAAGTTTTGAATGAGAACAAGAAATTTGGCTTCTTTGAAATAATAATATGAGATAGATTTTGAGCCTCGAATCTAGCGAGCTAGGCTAATAGCCCTCCAAATTTCACTACACAAATGTAACAATTTTGCAAAAGTGAGTTTTTGAGCAAGAACAAGCAGTGCAAAAGATGATCCAAAAATCCATACATGGTCCAAGCACTTCTCCCCAGCTATCCGGAAGGTGCGACAAATCACTGCAGGGATGAAAGCAGGGCCATACTCGTAACCCCGAGCACCACCAGAAGAAAAGGAAGAAGCTATTTCTTGACACCGTTAAAGATAGGATTTTTTAGAAAGTTTTCAGAATCTAATGGACATTACATATTCTCTAGTAGAATGCAAAAACAAACACAATAAAAACACAGAACAGAAAGTGACCTCGGTAATTCTTGGGATAGCACTTTGCTCAATGAAAAGAGATAGTTGAGCGAGCAGAAGAACAATCCCAGGAAGGACCTTTTCTCCTTGCACTCCCTGCGTCAAACTTAGATCTTGGCTACTTGACTTACTCTTGCCTGAAAGAAAAAGGAATCACTCATTGAGTTTTCTGAAGAATTCTTGAAATCCTTCTTGTACCCAGTGAATAGTTAAGTCTCTCAACTTCAATGATAGTTCAAGTTTTTCATCAAGAAGCTGACGGAAATCCTGAAATATGAAATCCATGGAAAAGACTGAGAACTAATCAAGAAGAACATAACAGGTAATCTTCCATTCAACGGAATCAGTATCATGCATTGCAGAATAAAGAACGAAGCCTCCTTTGCCACCCAAAAAAGAGAAACATGTCAAGAATTATGCAAATACGAACTTATGGGACCTGTTAAGCAACAACAATTGGCCACTGCCTACACAGTGTAGGACATCAATAGACTTCAAGATGTGGCTTTACAATATTGCAAGCATATTCATTACAATAAGCAATTCATTTAACACAAATCAACTAAGCATCAATACAAAATAAGTTTGTCTTCCTACATATGACAAAAGTTGTTCCTCGTGATGCATAAATCCCTAAACTTGTTAAACTTAATGAGTTTGAATCAATGTAATCTGGGTAGGAACACATTACCAGCATATGGCATTCATAAAATAGTGAATTGTATTTTATACAGAGAGAATCCACATTGTAGCATTTCTGTTTTCTCCTCATAATTGGCAATTGATGGCAGGATTTGTGGTTGTTCAAGCTAGCAGGTGAAGGTATATTTACTTAAAAAATGGAACAACAAAACCTACTCCTCACCCCTACCTACAACACACACACACAAGCACAAAGGGGGAAAACAAAAAGAAACAGAGTTTCACAATGAAGTATAGCAGCACAGGCATTCATGAAAACAACCTTGATCATTACCCGCCATCCTCGAAACAACCTTAGTTATTGATGTCCTACAACACTCTGTAGGCAGTGACATCAAGAGACTTCAACCTTGTTACACAGTGTAGGGGCAAGCAGAAAATGTAGAAAATCAGAGCATAGGCATTCTAGAAGACAACCTTGTTCATTACCCCTCATCCCTGCCCCTCCTATTCCTTTTGATCCCCATATTTTAAAATTTTATTGAGAGACTTTCAAAGGAAATATGACATGCAATTTCAGAAGTCCTGGCTTTACCGAAAGCCACAAGCTACCAGCTCTTATCAGCAAGACATTCATACAGCCTTGAATCTGCTATACAAATTTTTCATACATTATTCCCAAATTTTTAAGCTATTTTTTAACTGGCTAGGTTGACATTGCCAACCAAAATAAAGTTCCAACAAAAGGCAAACTACAAATTACCTAAGAAAACAACTTAATTTACTCTCCTTGCCACTACTGAGTTGATAAACAAAAAGAAAAGTAAATTATCAATAAGGTTGACAAATAAACAAAAACTAAAAAAAACAAAAACAAGACATATCTCTAGAAAAAGGGAACAAGTAAAGCTACAAGCCAAACAGCAAATGTACAAGCAATAACATGTCTGAGTTGAATTCTGCAAAAAAAGAAATTGAGCTTAAGGTTCTGGCAATGTATGATTCTCAAACAGAGAACTCAAAACAATAAAAATGGAGCAAGTAAAACAAGTAAAAGAAAATAACTTTGGATCTAGAGGAAATAGGATGCCGTCACAAATTGTCACCCTTCACTTTTTTAAAGACCAATAACAAGATAAAGAGAGCAGAAAGTTACAGTAAGTTACAATGAAAAAAAATCTGTTCACAAAAAAAAAGGAAATTAAAACATACCGTCAAGGCTTATTGAAGAAAAGTAGCATCCATTATCTTTTCTTCGTTCATCTAAGAAAGACTAAGAATAAGCAATGCTGGCAAGAGCAAATTTATTAGGGGGACAAAAACGAAGAAGACAAAACCTTGGATTTACACTAAACAGATTAACATAGTCAAGACCAGCATGAACAATATTGGATTTTCTCATATTATAGTTGAAGAAAGAAACGAGTAAAAAAAAACACCATATTATCACAACCAAATAACCCAAAAAAATGAAAGGGCAAGAAACTAACTGTAATTCCTCCTTCAGTGGCCTTCCTTGTGTTTTTTTACCTGAGATAATCACACAAAAATTCCATAAGAACAAACTAATCATAGTCAAAAAAGTCACGAGAAAAATAAACATCATGTGAGTTTTTTTACTTGGCGGGTTCTATAGTGATTGAGGATACCAGATAATAACATGCAAACCTTAAACTTGCACCCTGAAACAAACATGAAAAAAATCAGTCAAAATAAAGGAAAATTTTAAAACTAAAAAATGGCGAGATCAGCGGTGAGAAAATAAATCAGATAAGAAAGATCTCCAAGGTAATTATATACAAATAAAGAGAAAAATAACTGAGAGAAAATATTAAACTTTTCTGCGTAGAAAGAGGGAAAAATCATAAGTTTATGAGGAAAAGGGATGGATAAAAATCAGAAACGGAAAAAGAAAAATCAAACGTGAGCAGTTGAGCAAACAAGATCGACCAAATCTTCAAGGTTCTCCTATTTCAGGATAAGAAGGAGACAAAACGGAAAAAAACAAAGAGAATAAAAATGTGGGTTTTAAGTGTCATTTTTTTGAATAATCTTTAAAAGAGGGGAAGAGGGGAAAAATGAAGAAGAAAGAGAGAATAGAAGCTGTGTGCCGTTATTCTGTTTCTTTTCTTAGGAAATCCATGGAAGGAATGGAGGAGAGAAAGGAACCAGAGAGGCAAGAGACAAAATGGCTCGGAGAAGAAGAGATACAGTGAGCGGCGTAAATGAATTCTCAACAACCCTATCAATCCAACGAGGAGGCGAAATCTACAGAAGAGAAAGACTAAAGAATGGATAGGACTGAGTGGTCATCTCAAGTCCATTGCTTCTAGCAAAAGTCATAGATGATTGATTGATTAAGAAAGGAAAAGGAGAAACCAAGGGGAGAAGACGTCTGGAGTGGTTGGGGTTGATGGAGCTTTCTAGTGAAGAGTCTGAAGACCATTGCACGAAAGAATGAAAGAAAGAGCAAAAAAGGTGACGTGCAGTTCAAGGGAACCAAACTTGCCACCAATCACCGTGCACCACGTCACCATCCAGCCAATCCAATGGCGCCACACGGAGGAGGACGACCACGTCCGACGTGGACACCGGGCTTCCGCCCTTAGTCTATATGGTTAATGAGCTTCCGGTCGACATGGTACGGTAGAAGCGCTGAAGCAAAGATTAAAATATGTTTTGTATAGCTATCGCGCACCTTAGAGTATCTCACCAAGATCTAGGTTAGAAAGACTTTTCTGCCCCTAAAATATATAAAAATATCTGGACAGAAATGTCAATTTGGATTCCCTGGATTCTTGTTGATAAGATTCTTGCTGACCGATGGATCGCATGGATTGCTCGTTACTTTCGTTGTTGGTGTAATTTGCCCAACACTACGGGCACTGATCAGAAAGTAAATATAATTGAAAGGCCATCGAAAGTCCACAGACATTTAATGGATGTGTTTGGTGCAATGAGCCAATAACTGTAGAGGTAATTCCTTGACAATCCTGCTATTTTTAGAATTTTTTTGAAAAAAATACTGTAATGGGTTTGTTTGGATAGTGTATTATTTGAAATATTATTTGGAATAATTACTGTAGCGCTTTTTGTGATGTGATGTATGTGAGATAAAAAGGTGATTGGAAATATAAAAAGGTAGGTTGGGAAATATGTTTGTGATGCAAGCAAAATATTATTTGAAATAATGGAGGTATCCAAACACTTAATATATATGAGATAAAAAAGAGATTAAAAAATATATTTATAAAAATTTTAAATAATTTAACAAATGGAAGTATTATTAGCAAAGTCGCAGTTAGACAGGTTTTTCACTTATTGCAAATAATTTCTTTACTAGTTATTCGTACTACTCTAATAAATAGTTTCGTTGGTACTAGCAGTCTCTCAGGGGTTGGCGGTTTTAAAAATTATATTGTAAGCAACTTAAAATATGTTGGTTGCCTACTGTATACTAGGAATGTTGGTTGCCTACTTTATTAGCAAAGTAGCAGTCTCCTAAATTGATTCCCTACCCAATATATATATATATATATATATATATATATATAAAGAGAGATTATAAATATATATATATACTCCCTCCCTTTTTTTATAACTGATGTTTAAAGTTTTGCACACCAATTAAAAAAAGTTTTTCATTGCTTAAATCTGTACACTACTTTCCTTTTGTACCCTCATTAATTGTCCAATTCATCCATGTTTTCTCTCACTAGAGTACTAAATAGTGTTGTTTTATTAGGCCAAAAGCAATGCAATAATTACTAGGAGTAGTAATTAAGAACCCTGTATTGGAAAAGAGTGATAAAAGGGTAAAATTGTGAAAAAATAATTAATACTGTATGGGGATAATAAAACGACAGATAAAAGTACACTAGAGTAAATTTCTTAAACGTCAGTTATAAAAAAAGGGAGGGAGTATATAAAAAGAGAGATTAGCCCATATTCGTTCTAACCATGGTTTTAAACCAGCCCGACCTTGATGGTTGAACCGGTTAGACCTCGATCAATCTACCATCCAGTTTGATCAAGCCAACAAACCTAGACCGTGCGAAAATTTGCCTTGACCCAGTTGAACCGGCTAGTTTGCTGCCGCTGGTGCAATTAAGACCAAAGTTTTCAAATTTGGTCAAACTTCCAATTAAATACAAACCAATTTCCAATACAATCTTACTTTCAACGAACTTGTAGTAAATAATCTCATGCATTTATGTCTTTTATATACTCTTTGTTCATTTTTCTCTACCTCCCACAAATTACACATACATATATTTCTCTTTTCAACTTTTAATCAAAGTCTAAGCACATTACTTTGTGTCCTTTTTTTTTTTTGTCCAAAAAAAGGACCTGGTCCCACTTCAGGCCTCAACCCTTATTCGAGTTGTTGGATTATTCCCCAATTTCGTTACAGGGGTCGAACTCTGATGAATACTCTAACTAGAAACTACACCACCAGGTCGACTACCTTGGAGGGACTACTTTGTGCCCTTTTTAAAAGGTTAATTTATAGTACTTCTTTGTCTTTTTTTCATTTTTCTTGTAGCTTTTTCGCAATTTAGATATTCACTAAATATAATTAATAATCATTACCTAATTGTCGATCAGGTTGGTCCAACGGTCGAACAAATAATTCTTGACCCAATAAGTTTTCTGGTCAATAAATGGGTTGGATTTCAAAACCTTGGTTCTAAGATTCACTTTTTGCACAATTCATGTATGTGCAACAGTCTGCCACATATTATTTTAATATTGTACTCCATAATGGTGTATTCTGTCCAAAAGAGTACTAAGCTGACATGGCAAGAATTGCTTAGCCCGTCAATAGAAGGAAAGTTTGCTTGGGCCAGATCATTTTAAAATAAAAAAGGGTCGTTGGTGAGGAACTGAGGATTAGCTTTCTCAAAAAAAAAAAAAAAAGAGTAAGTTGTGGGTTATGTGGTGTGCATCGTTTTCAAAATTGTGTGTACGATTTACAAATAATTATTTTATGTTTACAATATGTTCAAGGTGATTTACATTCTAAAAAAACAAATTCACATTTTGTCAAAATGGACAAAACTGCCCTGGGAGTGTTGCACCATCGTGTCCCCTACCATCGTTTATAGCTTTGGATATGCCTACTTAAAATTTTTTTTTCTATAATTTATAGGTATTCGTATCCGTTTTACAGTTTATGACTAATTTTGTTCAAATCGTGTTGGAGCTCTTGTAGAAAAAAACTCTGTCAACGTTGTCTTTTTCATTTTCATGAATTTCGAACTTGAAACATCATAATTAAAGGATGCAAGCCCCTTTCACCTGTACCAACATCCATAGGTAGATATCCTAATATAACTAAGAAGAGTGTGACGCTTCCGCTGCTCGCTCCTTTTCATCTCCACTTCTAGGGTTAATTTTGTCATTTTATCTGATGCTTTTCGACTTTTTTTTTTTTGGCATGGCATGTTCCTATCATCTACTGCCAAAAGTAGTTGAAATATGATCTTGCACTCATGTCGTGCTTTTTGCTTCTATTGGGCGGAGTGTATATGTATGAGTTTACTGTTTTACCCTTTAAGATGCTGATTGAGTGGGTATTTTCTACAATTTGTCTTGGACTTTTTGGTCAATTAATTCATTAGATTGGGCTGGTAGGCTCAATAAAAGTCAGCAGTACGCATAGTCTTTTACCAAGAAGGAAACAAACATCCAAAAATCTAATGCATCCAAATGGGGCCAAAACCGATAATAATTGGTTTACAAGTTTTGTTAACCCAAATTCAAACAAATCGATAATAGTTGATTGACAGGTTTATTTAAAATTAATTAAAATAGATAACTCAAAACTTTTTTTTATTTTATTTTTTAACAAAAAAGAGTCTTATTGATCATAAACATAGAAATAAACTAAAACTCTTCTTTATTTTCTTACCCCAAATAATCTTTTTCTTAAATCAACATAGACCTTAATGTCATTTCCAGCCAACCGAGTTCAAGTTTAGTTGCTTGTAATGAAATTTGCGGCTGCCCCATGCCATGTCTTGGTGGTTTTGTTTGTAGATGCACAACTGATGGAAAATCCGACAATCTTTAGAAGTTTTGAATTATGAATAGGCAAGGGTTTGATATTACAAACCAACATGATAGACCATGGTTATTCAAGTATTAGCAGGGTTTTAAGGTGTACTTAGTAAGAGTGGTTAAAATTTTATTACTATTCTCTTATTTTTATCCGGCAGATGATTTTATGAGAATCAAATTCCAATATCTAACATTCTTATCAACCATGTGTGTGTTTATATCAACTTATTTAGCTCTTTCTAGTTTTTTTACATCTCGTAATTATATAAATGCGATGATTTAAAATTAATTACTTAATAGTTTTGAGTTATCTGTTTAATTGATTTTGAGTAAACTTGTCAATCGACTATTATCGATTTGTTTGAATTTGGGTTAACAAAACTTATAAATCGATTATTATCGATTTTATTTGAGTTTGGGTTAATAAAAGGTTAGAGACACGTGACAACTATACAAATAAGGAACAGATGGAACAACGACTATTTCAGGACAGAGGATTTGAAGCCGCCTGCCCGGCCCCATAATGATGTCTTCGCCAAATTTCCTTTACTCTTCCTGCACGGATGAGTCAGCTTTCCACCACAGAGGAAACCGACATAGGCAAGAGACGAGTCTTCTAGTCAACAAACTCTTATTCATCCCGTCGGCGGAGAAATAGAGTGATGGAGGGAGCGACGCGTAATAATAGGAGCAAAGAGCTGCAGTTTGTGGATAAAAAATTAATGGGCTCGTCAAAGACGCACAACGCGCCTGGCAAGGAGCGTGGCCCTTAAACGTGTCAACTAAGCAAACTAATAACCATAGTTATAAAACCCGGCCCAGCCCGGCGGTCGAACCGGTCAACCCGGTGTACCCGCCAGTAGACCGGGCCGGATTCCTAATTAGATCGGTTAAGCACTAGAACCGTTGACTAGTCAACGATCCAGTGGTTTAACCGGATTAAACCGGAAACCCGGCCGGTTTTGTGAAGAAACCGGTTTTGAGGAAAAAATTTTACAAAGTTGTTGGCTGGATTCGAACCTATGACCTTAGGTAAGGTTTATGACAAGCTCCCCACCAGGCTACTTCGCTGCATGTTAATTAATTATCATTCTTACGCTATATGAATGTTTTATCAATTTTATCTTTATTCTTTTTTTATTTCTCCAAAACAAATTTATTTGGAATCTTTTAATACAAACTTATGACCACCAAATTCTATAAATCATAAAATAGATTTCAAAAATAACATATTACATAATTTATTTTAAAGACAAATATTGTTTTTAATAATTTTTTGCACTTAAAATTTGTAAGTAACCTAGATAATTACACTAAACATAGATAAAATTTTACACTTAAAATTTGGTGGATCACTAATTAAATTTATGTTTTGATGATTCTTATATAAATTAATTATTCTATAGCAAATTAAATCAAATGAGCATTTGTTATGACATTATTTATTAAAATTTATATCACATATCCTATATAAAAAATTATAAGATATAATATTTAAATATATTTAGTGACCCACTGGTTCAACCACTCACCCACCGGTTGAACCAGTAACCCGTTGACCCACCTCCTTCGCCGGTCTCCTTTCCGGGCCGGATTTAATAACTATGCTAATAACCATTAGATAACATTAATTAAAATTAATTCAAAATAAAATAATTTAAAATCCTAGAGATAAAAAGTTGTGTTGAAAATTTGTGTTTGTAATATAAGCAAATAATTTTTAACTAAATAATGGCTATTCAAACACACTTAATATGCATGTTTTATGCAAAATACTATTCACTTCCTCGTGATTATTAACTCGTATTGATCTACAACTGACAGCTCATTTTGGAAGATCTAAGTTGATTGTCAAGTACTTTTTTTTTTTTTTGCTATAACGATAACATTTATATAACATAATATATTCTACTTTACAGAGAGAGGGAGTCCAAAGAGACTGTATAAAGAGTTAATAGGTTTACGGATTCAATTAAATCAAAGGGGTTTACTGATATCTTTATTGTATTTTTTTCATTACAGGTGAGTTTCGAATTTTCGACCTACAATCCAGAGAGGGATTTAATCCTTTTTGGTGGTTGATTGACAAGTTCTTTTTTTTTTTTTTTTTTTGTCAACACAGGGGTGTCAAGTTCTTGCTGGAGTAAATTATCTCAATTTCGATCTTAAGATCCAAGAATTCAGGTGAATGATTACTCATTAATAATAAAATAAAGACAGCCGATAATGGTCAAAGCAGGCCATATTAATGCTTAGTGACAACTCATGATCATTATGAAATGTACACGCGTCCGATCAAGCACTAAGACAATTAGAATTCGATCTTCTTAATAACAATTTAACAGAAAGAATACACTCTAAATGACACCGCATAGTACGTGATAAACAGCACTTTTATCAAGAAGATCTTATTAAAATTATGTTCCAGCATGCTTGCGTTCACATCTTACTCTTACAAACCAGCAATTAGAATATTTTGAGGACTAACTCCACTTAACGTCTCTAAACTTGTATTATTTTTTTACTTTATATTCTAAACTTTAATTTTAGACACTTTACACCCTAAATTTTTAATTTTAGATACTTTGCACTCAAAACTCTCAAGTTTGTTCAATTTAAATTTAATCAATAATTACATTCGCAAAATTAACGCGATAAAGGATGATTTAAATTAATGGAAACACACTATTTTGTTCTAACTGCAAGTTCTTAACTTTTTGACCATTTCAACATACTGTCATTGATTTATATGGTTTTAATCACTATCATTAGCAAAATTAACAAGATAAAAGATGATACGAATTAATGAAAAAGTACTATTTTATTTTTGTTATGATACTTTGACACCTTTTGATCATTTTTTGCGCATTACCATTGATACGTTCGTTCTTTATGTCATTAATTTTGCTAAATTTATCATCAATTGGATTTAATTGAAGAAACTTGAAAGTTTAAGGTACAAAGTGTCCAAAATTGAGAATTTTGGACTTAAAGTATTCAAAATTGAAGTTTAGAATGCAAAGTGAAAAAATGATACAAGTTAAAAGAAATTCAAACCGAAATTAGTCCACATTTTGAAGATGCAAAAGACAATAAAAAAGAAAAAAATATCTTCACTGTTATATATTAGGCGAGAAACTTAAGCTGAGAGCTACACTACAATATTTAATCCTCCGTGAGTATCATTCTTGGTTTATTTTTAGTGTGGTACAGAGCTGAAGTAGAATATTTACAATAAATCCATCAAACTCAACCTGGGGCCACCACCGCATTACAAGATTATCTATATGATTTTTTTTTTTAAAGTAAAACTAGCCATAAAGTCTACGGCGACCAAGTAGTTGAAATAGGATAAAACAAGAAGATGCAGAAAGTCTAATGGCGACCAAGTAGTTGCTGAAAATACTGCAAAGATAGCATCCAACAAGAAAGCAATACAATGGAACTGCCTTTCAACTTCATTGCTTTCTCTCTGTTCTTAGCCTTTGTTTTAACTTTGATCAAGGGAATCAAGAGATCAAAAGAACCCCAGAAACTACCACCATCTCCTTGGAAACTACCTATTATTGGTCATATGCATCATTTAATAGGCTCCCCACCACATCATGCTCTCAGAAAATTAGCTCAAAATTGTGGACCCCTAATGCACATTCAGCTAGGTGAAATATCTTCGATTGTGGTAACTTCACCGCGTTTGGCGAAGGAGATCATGAAAACTCACGATCTTGCCTTTGCAGACCGCGGAGAATTTCTATCTGGAAAGATCATATGCTACAATTGTTCAGACATCGCTTGCTGTCGATATGGTGACTACTGGAGACAAATGCGTAAAATATGCACCTTGGAGCTCCTTAGTGCTAAAAGTGTCCGATCATTTGCTTCTGTTCGCCAAGATGAGGCTTTGCATCTGATATCATCGATTAGGGTTCTAGCTGGTGCTCAAGAACCAATCGATTTAACAGAAAAAGTGTCCTCATACACCAGTTCCGTGGTTTGCAGAGCAGCATTTGGGAAAGTAAGCAAAGATGATCATGTTGCATTCTTGCAGCTACTCAAAGAAGTAACTCGCCTAACAAGTGCCTTCGATATTTCTGATCTGTTTCCATCATTCAAGATTCTTCATTTTCTCCTTTCAGCGGAAACTAAACTTCTTAACATCCACCACAAGGTAGATAAAGTTTTGGATAAGATAATCAATCAGCATCTTGAAAACCTATCAGAAAGAAAAACATCCACAGGTGAATACGGCCATGAAGATTTAATTGACGTCCTATTACGAGTTCAAGGAAGTGATGAACTCCAATTTCCAATTACCAACAACAATATCAAAGCTGTTATTGTTGTAAGTATTCGACCAATTTTTGTCCGGTTATCACTACATCTTTTAGTCTCTAACCAAGAATTTATGCATTGAATTTGGTGCAGAATATATTTGCAGCAGGAAATGAGACTTCATCCGTAACAGTGGACTGGGCGATGTCCGAAATGATTAGAAATCCAGGTGTGATGGCTAAGGCACAGAGTGAAATAAGGAATGCTTTCAGAGGAAAAAACTCAATTGAAGAAACTGATATTCAACAACTGCAATACCTAAAGTTAGTGATTAAAGAAACTCTGAGGCTACACCCTCCTGCCCCTTTGTTGCTTCCAAGAGAGTGTAGGGTGGAATGTGAAATTGATGGATACATCATCCCTGCCAGAACAAGAGTGTTGGTCAATGCCTGGGCAATTGGAAGAGACCCTGAGTATTGGGATGATCCAGAATGTTTCAAACCAGAGAGATTTGCAAACAGTTCCATTGATTTCAATGGAGCTCACTTTGAGTATCTCCCATTTGGTGCAGGAAGGAGAATTTGTGCAGGGATTTCATTTGGTTTGGCCAATGTTGAGCTTCCTTTAGCTCTTTTGCTCTATCATTTCGATTGGAATCTCCCAAGTGGCCTCAATTCCAGTGATTTAGACATGAAAGAGACTGTTGGAATAGCTACATCAAGATCAGACAATCTTTGCTTGAAGGCCACTTTATATGATCCATGATATATCCTTGGTTCCACAAACCAAATTTTGTGTACAAACTAAAGCTTGAATTGGTAATGTCTGCAGATGCTGCCGTCCTCTTTGACAACAAGCAAGTTCAACTTGATGGTTTTGTGACTATATTATGGTAATCATCTTTTGATGATATTCTTAGCCTCTTTTTTGAGCAAACTTCTTTATGATTACATATAAAACAAATACCAAGTATATGATCGGGTTGTTCACTCTTTTATTTATATATCTCAAATTGAGTAATCATTAAAATGTTTCTTTTCAACTACAATGGAATTCGTTACATTTTGTGAATGAGTATAATTGTGGGAAGTGAGTTCAAGTTTGAAGGGAATTTTGAAAGAGCGGTCGCTAAAAATCAAGGTTGAGTTTGATGAAGCTTAAACTTGACCTGCATCCAGGCTCGATGCATTGTCATGTTGGATCCTTAATCCAACATTGGACTTATATGTGAATAATTATGTGTTGCAAACTGTCAATTAAGGTTAAGCCCAATTTAAGTGATCAAATATAGTTTGAGTTTAATGTATCTAATAGGGTGTGAGCCTTTAATGTGTAGAAATTTAAGGGTTCCTATTTCATAGATCAGCTGAAATAGGGTTCCAAAGGGTAACAGGAATGCTACCTATAAATAGGGTCATGGTCCACATGTCACACGAATTCTTATTTTGTCGTATTTTCTAGTACCACAAAATATAGCTCTTCCCTGATATCCCATCGTCAGGAAAGATACCAAAGAGATACCAATGGCTCTCTAAAAGGATTGGCAAGTACGTGTTGACCTGGAAGGTCACCCCAATATCTTTGGAGATTCAAATATCAGATTGTCGAAATGAATCCAGGTACGCTTCCGCAATTTTTACTGTTGTTTTATTTCTTAATAATCGGCATATAGATTTTGGGTTTAATAGGTGATGATTTTCACCAAAGATTAAATATAAATAACCACCCTAACATATCAAGCTTACCCAAATTAAGCTTCAGAAATAAAAATTACTATGCAGTCAGGCTTGAACTCTATTCTGATTAACTTGAGTGGAATGAACTGTCCGATATGAAAATAACTCAACTATACTCCTAATTAAAATAAAGATTAACTGTGGCTTAGAAGGAAACATTGGCGTAATGCACTTAAGAAAATATACAATCATGTAAAGAATGTAAAATCAACCCCAACTCAATAGCAATTTTATTAAAAAAAAAAAAAGGTTTATACTTATGACTTGTATATGCACAATCGTTCATGGGTGCACTCTATCAAATTAAGTGGAATATATAGGCTGTCTTTTTTTTTTTTTTTGAAGGAAAATATGTGGGCAGTCTAACATCATCCATTCTCTCTAGGTAAAGAATACTCTTATAAAATTATATGTGGCATTTGTGAATAAGATACAAAATTCGGGTTCAAAAGTTTGATAGGAGTGTTAATTTCTTAATTACATCGACGACGACAAATCTGGTTGGTTTGACAAAATCTGGTTGGACAGCTTAGTAGGACCCTTTTTCCAATTTGAGGATGCCAAAATGGTTTCTTATAAAGTAAATAATCTTAATATCAATTACTCAACCACTAGGCAATGGCTCAGTGGCCACTAGGGAAGGGGCTGTAGGTGAGGGTTCGAATCTCACCTGCAGCGAAAAAAATCTAAGGATTGTGTCATAACACTCCCTTGGTCTAGTTATCGTTGCTCACAAAAAAATTAATATCAATTACTCCAATGACGGTAAAACAGCCAGAGTACTAAGACTATGCATAGGCTTCAGTGCAGACATTAAGTTCTTCTTCATCTCAAGTTTACTATTATTTATTTATTAATTTCTTATTGTTATTTTTAATTATTTGCAATAAAAATTGCTTAAATAATCATTTTAAAATTGTTTTGTAGGTTTGTGCCAAAAAAAAAAGAGCAAAAAAAAGGAGGAAAAATAAAAAAATTAAAAGAAATAGTAGAGGTTTGTTTTCTTTTCTTTTCTTTTGCTTCTAACCCAATAAAAATCCCAACAATGAACCCAACACTAGATCCACTCAAAACCCAATTCCTAAACCCCTAAATGAACCCACTCAAAAAACAACAAAAGCCCACCTGAGGCCCAGCAAAAACCAGGAAAGAAAGATGGGTATGAGTATAGCTATCAAACAAATCCATTTAACTAAATTTACCCATACCCATTCATGAATAGATGGGTATGAGTATCTTAAATTTTTGTATATGGGTATAAATGGGTTACCCAATAATACCCATTTAATAAATGGGTATTATTGGGTAACCCATCAAACCCAATTAACTCATTTAGAATTGTCTTCCTCTAAATCTCCTCTCTTCCCCCACTCATTTTTTTTTTCAAATTTTTTATTTTGTCATGATATTAACTACTTTTGTTTCATCATTATTATTATTATTTGTTAGTTTTATCTTATCATTTTATTTTATCTTAGTTTATTAACTTGTTCATTTTTCAGCATTACCAATTTATGATAAGTTTTAACCTATTTTCTTACTTTTCCAAAATGAAATTTTAAATTTACACTCGAAAAAATGCTAGAGGTTCAAATTTTTTGGATTAAGTTTTTATGTTAACTTTTATAGTACTTAATTCAAAATTTTATATTCTTATTGTTTAATTATTAAATAATATGTAATTTTGCGACATAGAGTACAGATGGAAAAAAAATTGATAATTAGGTTTATTGAGCATTATAAATAAATATTTAAAACTAATGGGGTCATACCCCCCCCTCCAAAGTTTTAAAAATTTTAATTCATATTGTATAAATATTTGTGCAAAACAAAGTTGGCCCTTCTATTTTTTTTTTTCAATTTTAGTTTATATTATGAGAATATATGTGTGTGTGTGTGTGTGCGTGTGTGTGAATTAACTACATTTGAATTAATTTTTTTCTTAAAAAAGTTATTTACTTTTTACATCCCTTTATAATTAAAGTTAATATTTGATATTTTTAGATGTCATATATTTAAATAGATGAAACTTATTTCAAAATGAAATACTTACAAACATTATGCATTCAACTTGATAATTTTGTACAAAGATGGGAACACTTTTTACATCAATCAACTTTTAATATGAAACCAATATTGGTGGTTTAATTAATTCTGGTGAATTTTGTGGAGTTCATACTACAAAAAAATGTTCAGTGAGACTTGTATTTCTTGGAAGTGAATTTGATGAACCTTTTTAAAATATTTCAGTGGGATCACTATAATGTAACATTCATTTTGTGATCAGTTGTTTTCTCCTTTTAATCTTGCGGGTTTGGAATTAAGACGCCATTGAAATCAATGATGGAACCAATGAGGCCATAGCCCCCCCCCAAGTTTTAAAAATTTTAATTCATATTTTGTAAATATTTGTGTAAAACAAAGTTAGCCCTCCTAATTTTTTATAATTTTAGTTTATATTATGAGAATATATATATATATATATGTATATGTGTGTGTGTGTGTGTGTGTGTGAATTAACTACCTTTGAATTAATTTTTTCTTAAAAAGTTATTTACTTTTTATATCCCTTTATAATTAAAATTAATAGTTGATATTTTTAGATGTCATATATTTAAATAGATGAAAATTATTTTGAACATAACATATAAAAATAATTATGTTCCAAAAAATTTTAGCCCCTTTAGAAAAAAAAAATCTTGGTTTCGTCACTGATTAAAATGCTTGTAAGTGGGATTCATCCATGGTAAGAATGTGATACATAATCTTTTTTTTTTAGTGTATTTAATTTGTGTGATGACAAATGAAATGGGTAAAAGGGGTTAGTGATCATCAGTTTTGTGAATGCTTATGAGAGTAAAATACATTATGACACTAAGATGGGTTAAAAACAAAAAAGCCCCCCGTGGTATACCTAATACACAGAAAATTCCCCTATGGTTTCAAAACATACAAAACGACACCTCATGTTTTGAACTAAATTGTAAATTAACAGAATTCGTTAAACTTAACGGAATCTGGTAAATTTAACGAAAAATTTAATGGAATCCGGTAAAGTCAACGGTAAACTTAACGAAATCCGATAAGTTTAACAGATGAGACCGTCATTTTCATTAAGTTTAACGAATTCTGTTAGTTTACAATTTAGTTCAAAATATGAGATGTTGTTTTGTATGTTTTGAAACCATGCGAGATTTTTCTGTGTATTAGATATATCACGGGGGATTTTTTTGTTTTTAACCCCAATAGGATACGTAGAATTGTAAAAATTGTAATTCAAACATGCTCCTAAAATTTTGGATATGTGATTTTCGTAGTTGTAAGTTTCTTAAATTAACATTTAGTTATTGCTATCAGTGATGTAATAAGTGTGAGTATTGCTATTAATGATGTGGTGAGTGTCAGTAGTAATTGTGAGACGTGAATTGGAATTTGTAGATACCATTTTGGAGGGGTGGTTATTATCTATTAGTTAAAATTTAGGAGTTTTAATTTTGTGGGTTAGTGGGTCATGTAAATTGAAGACTGGAAAGGGATAAGGAGACGACAAGAGTTATTGAATTAAAATAAATCTAAAATTATAGTAAAAAGGGATTCAGATTTCTGACGCTTGTGGAAGTTTCTCATAAAAAACTTGCTCTAATGGATTCAATTGTGCTTTTTTTTAATGGATTTAATCCAAAATTTACAATTTACAATTCCTCCTTACCGTCCAATCCAATCCTCTTTTTTTTTTTTAAAAAAAAAAAGATTTGAACTCAAAATTTCTTATTTACAATTCCTCTTTAACTTATCACCCAGTCTAACCTTCCCTCGATATGACTCAATGATAATCATACGTAAGTTGCAACCAATCGGTCAAATAATTGACAAATATTCTACCACTACCAAGTGAATAACATGCTCATAAATGCATATGGTTAATAAGAAAAATCCTACTTTAAGCGACGTAGGACTTGTCTGACAGACACAAATTAAAAGATGCCTAATTTTTTATTTTTAGGAGTCCCATCTTTGAATTTATTGCATAGAGATATTGTTCTTTTAGAGTCACTTTTTGTGCATGAACTTGGTGTATAATATACTTTATCCCCTTGAACTTTGAGGATGGTTACATTTTACCACCTTCAACTTTAAAAATATGAGTGTTATGAAACGCTAGTCAACATTGGAAATCTTAACAGCGATTAAAAACACATGAGAGTTATGAAAACATTGTCCTTTTCTTGTCGAAATTATTTATAATTTATAATTACTGCCTTTTCCCAAAAAACAAGTGAAATTTGATTTAATCTCCTTTTTCTCTTATTTTTTTCCTTTTTTTCTTAAAGATGATCAATAGTCATTCCCTATTTACCCTTTTAACGACTGGAATGTTGACCTATCAGTTACAGGTGAAGCGTCATTCCAACTAAATTTTACTTCATTGTCGTATTTTTCTCTTCTAAGTTTAAAAATAAGGCATAACAGCCTTTTTTTTAAATAATTTTGGTTAAGTATTTAATATTTTACCAATTTAACAACTAAGAATAATAATAATAATAATATAATATAATTATTTTTTTAAAGAATAATAAGTTTAATATTACCTTATCTTTTGAAAATTTGTCTAACTAAATTTAATGTTATTTTTTTCCAGTAGGGAAAGGGTGGAATTTTAAAAGTGCAGGAGAAGGGGGATTTGAAGCAATTTATTATAATTATGTTGCTATTATACATATTGTTTGATTTAAAGTCCAATAAATTGAACAAATTATACATTAAAGTGAACACTAATCCAATAGGAAAAGTTTTAAAGATAATAGTAAATCAAATGTAAACCTGTTTTTTTCCTTGTGGATAAAGTGCATATTTTTAAAATTGAGAGTGGTAAAGTGTGATTATCCCAAGGTCTAGAGAGGCAAGGTGTTACCCCTAAATAGTTCTCCAATTCTTATAATGGATCTATAGAATTACATTGCGAAAAAAAAAAAAAGAATTGAAATTAAATCTTTTGTAGAGATACCCATTTTCCAGGAGAGACAGTTAAAATATCGTGACAGTGACGTTTTGATACTGATACCACCAGGACCATATAAAAAAAAAATTCTTAAGATGCAAGTTTCGACCTATTCACCTAACCTTCCCTTTAAAAGCATCATGTTCATTTTCTGTGGTTCCTGTGTGGTGTGTGTTTTAAATGTATTAATACCCCCAAGTGATAGCCTAAACTATTAGGACGAATTCATTTAACCAATTGGTTATCTACTTAGCTTCCCAATTTTTATTCCGAAGGTTTTATGGTGGGTTCAAAATTTAATGACCTTATATAATCTCTATTTTTCTCTTCTAAGTTTAAAAACAAGGCACATCAACCTTTTTCTTAACAATTTTGGTTAAGTATTTCATATTTAACAATTTGACATACAAGAGTAACGGTAGTGTAATAAAAACTATTTTTTAAGAATACAAGTTTAATATTAGTTGATTTTTTGAAAATTTTGCTATATCATTTTGTTGTTATTACTTTGTCATTATCCTTATTGCTTGATTCAAAGTCTAGTAAATTAAACAAAGTATATATTAAAGTGACTGTTAATCCAATAGAAAAAAATTTTAAGGATAATAAACAAAATGAAAACATTTGTTTTTTTTTTTTACCTTTCATCAATTGGAGATTTTTGTATAGTAGATAGCATGGAGAAAAATGTATGTTGTTAGCAATAGAAAGGAAATAATATTAAGTTATAAATAATCATATATTAAAAGGCAACAACATCATTGTACACACTTTCTATGCATTTCTAACTTTGACTAGTTTTTATGGGGTGTAAAGTGTATATTTTGAAGATTGAGAGTGGTAAAATATGATTATCTCCAAAGTCTAGACGAGCAAAGTGTTAACCCTAAACAAATCTAAAATTTTTATAACAGACCCATAGAACTAAATTACAAAAACAGAAGAGGAATTGAATTTAAAATCTTTTTTTTGGTGATACCTATTTTCTAGGAGAGACAAATAAAATATTCCAACATAGCGACTTTTTGATACGTTACCACCAAGTATACAAATAAAATAAAATAAAAGAAAATCTAAACATATATGTTTCTTCCACTTCACCAAATCTGACATAGGTGGATGTCTACCACGATAAAGTAATCGACAACTAAAAACGCTAGTTTAGACTACGTGCTTAATAACCGTAATGAAGAAATAGATTGTCGATAGAGTTCTGACGTTTCCGGCTTAGGTATTGCGATATAAAGGACTTTTATTGCAGTCAATTTGTTTCTTTTTCTTTTTCTTTTTTTTGAAAAGAACACAGGGATTTTAATAAAAGATATTTTAACACAGTTTAATAAAGGATGCTAAAATTAGCGGTCCAATTACACTAAGCTTCTTGTCATCTTGTCATGACAATTTCAATCATTTTTGTTTTGAACCTCCAAGTTATCATCTTTCTTTCTTTTTTCTTATGACAAATATTTTTATTCTCCCCTAAAGAATATTAAGTGTGAAATCGTGATCTTAATAAACAAAATATGCTCTAACATACCAATTCGGGATGGGACTTTTATGAATTAGTAAAAATCAAATGAAATGATGAGCAAATTTTTTTATCTCGTAAAAGTTGATCCATTTAATTTGAAGTTTCTTTATTCTTTTGATTTTCACTTGTATTGAAAACTTGAAAAAGATAGTGTGCAATCATATGACGCTAACTAAAATCACTAGTTCTATATGAGAAGAGTGATGAAAAGTTAAATGTGTGATTTGATAAGTTGGAAAGAAATTAATTTGTGAGAAAGCATAACTTGTAATTAAACCTAGCAAATAGTTTTTAGAAAGATAATTTGGTTTTGAGCATTTTATTATTTTCCCTGTTCATGTATTTTCCTATATCGATTAGCAATTTAGAACACAATATTTTCACTCGGTTTTGTAGGCATTCCCAATTTTCGTTTTGAAAGGGGTAGAATGAAAAATAGAAGTTTTAAAATTATGACGAAAAGATTAGGGATAAAAGAGAGCATAATGGCCCCATATATTGGGGAATTGAAGTCAAAATTATGAGTTAGTTGAATCATCAAAAGATAGAGATGGAAGTTGATTGGAGTCCTTCTATGCAAGGATAGGAAACATGTGGTTTAGTAGTGTTTTTGGAGAAAAATCCACTTTTCATCCATAAATTTTGAGATGGGGACACATTTCATCCCCAAACTTTCAGATAAGCAACTTGAACCGCTCGAAGTACTTATTATAGATATTTGAGGCTCTATACCGGTGTCCTGTTTGTGGCCTTATTTAAAGAAACAAAATTTGTGTAAAATACCATCTACAGTGATAAAAACCTCTAAGTTATTGAGAAACACCAAAATGAAAGTGCATTAAATAGGATATCGGTGGCGGAGAAAATAAATGTCAGCATTTTTTTAAGACAGCTATTATGAGTTATCGTAAAGTTTTAAGACAAACAATCTAAAAATCATACCATCCAAACGGACCACGAAGTGTGAATATCTCATTATAGACTAATTAGTGACATCACAATGCCGTGGTAAAATTTGACAATGTGAATTGGCCGGCTAAAATTAGTGTAGATATATGATAATGACACTTTTCGGTAGGGGTGTGCAACGAATTCGAAATCAGTAAATCGAAAGTTTGAAATCAAAATTTTTTGAAATTTTGACATAGAAATTACCGATCAATTTCGAATTCAATTCGGAATTTGGACCGAATTCAAAAACCTGTTTTCCCTTTTTTTTTTTCTTTTTTTTAATGACTCATCACAAGTCTACCACTTCATACGAGAATACAACCATTCATCACAATACTTATACAACCATTCGTTACAATCTAAAGATGAAATACAAAACATCAAAATTGTCAAATAATACAAATGTAAGCAACAATTCCAGTCCAAATTTCACACAAATAAAGCAGCAACTATTTCAAATAAATCATAAGTGTAAAACAACATTTCAAATTTGCAACTTCCAAGAATGACCTGAAAAAAATATTCTACAGTTTCAAGTACTTTTTGAGACCCTCTTTCCTCCTTAATTCCCAAAATCAGAAAAAGAATAAAGAAAAGAAAACAAGCTCTTAGCATATCCTATAGTGGTGAATCCTTGGATTTTTTCTTTTTCTTGACGAAAGTGGAAACTATCAAAGCATTTGAAAGAGAAATCACTGGGATGATTGGCAGATGAGCTTGTTCTGTGTCAGTGAAATTAGTAACATCCGCAATGGCGCAATGCAGTTAGGGAGAGCGCAGAAAATAGATATGTTATCCACAAAGTAAAACGTGATCATTCTTATACACAACATACTCAAAGCAGTAGTTGGTTAAAACTACATATAACTTGTTCTCATAAATTGACAAGACTAGCTTTTGATCTTCAGGGCTCTTGCCATAGTGCTAGTAAAATAGAGCATACTCAGAAGCTGTTTGATGAAATGCCTAAGAAAAATAAACCAGAAACACAGATTAATAGCAATTATAGCATAGCCCATATTAAGTAAAATCACCCGCATACCTCAATTTGTCCTTGAAGATGAAGGCTGATGATGGCTAGCTAATGATGGCTTGAAGATGAAGACTGTCGGGCTTGAAGATGGCTAGCTTGATGGCTTGAAGATGAAGAATGAGAGTGAGAGACAGTGAAGATGAAAGCTGAGAAAGTAGGAAAGCTGCTCTTAGTTGAGCTCCTTCTCGACTGAAGACTGGCAGACTGGCGGTGGCGGAGGAGGAAGAAAGGTGAGAGACGAATTGACGAAGAGGCGAAAGAGCTTAATAGATTAGGTTTTGCACTTTTGCATTTTTGTCCTTTTTGGAGGTTGTTTTGTAATTTTTGTTAATTGTTAGATGTATTATTGTTATTATGTATATAATATAAATTTTATATTACATATATTGTAAAAAAATATTATATTATATATATAAAACAAATTCGAAATTATATTTCCGATTTCGATTTCCTATTTCGAAATCGGAATTGTCGATTTCAAAAACTATGTTTTCAAATTCGACCAATTTGAAATCGAAATTACCGAATTCCATTTCGAATTATCGAATTTGAAATTTCGAATTCAATTTCGAAATCGGTCGGTAAATCGGAATTTTTCAATTTTGTACACCGCTACTTTTCGGATTATAGGGTAACGCTGAAATTTGGATGCATAAAAAAAATAAAAATGAAGTTATTACATGATATATTGTTACTTCATTGAGACATGCATATGGTCTAAGTTTTTTTTTTTTAGTACAACATTATTACAATTGGAAGAGATTCTGGAAAGGAAACACAGTCAGGGGTAGGGATGGCAACAGGGAGGGGTCCCCCCGCCCCGTTGCCCATTAATTCCCCTCACCCTGGCCCCCGCCTAACCCTGCTTCCCCCACAGGGGCACTCGCGAGGCTAATAAAAATGTGTTATATAATTTTATTATAGTCAAATTGTAGCAAATAATCAAATATTAAAATATCAATATATCACCAAGTTATTATTCATTGTAATTTTACAATTGAAACTCATAAAAATAATCAAACAAAAGTTATTTGAATACAATCTAACATGATGAAACAAATACAACTAAAGTAGTCAATTTTTCACTTTTAACACAAATACAATCACTAAGTCATTATTGTGCTTTTTTTTTTTGAGGAAAAAGTATTATTGTGTTAAGCGTAATTAGAAATTTAGTATAAATGTATTAGTAAATTTAATATAACTAATTAATAATTTCTATTAGTATACATGCATAATTATTAGTATAATTGATAATATTAATTATATTACATATACTAATATACATTATATAATACATATAACTAATAATATCATTATTATAAGTTTATAACTAATTAAATTAAATATTATAGATATATAATTAGATACATACACATATATATTTACACATTATTTTTTTAAGGAGTGACGGGGCAAGGGATGGGACGGGGGTTTACTCTCTCACCCCGTTTCTAAAGGGCTCCGTCCCATTAACTCCCGCGAGCACCCACCCTAATTGCCATCCTTAGTCAGGGAATGCCTAGGGAGGGACTTAGTCCCTCCTCTGGTGGCCGAATGAGCTAGCTAAGTTGGTTATGGTCTAAATTAACCCCTGTATGTATCTTTTGTTTGACTTTTGTATGTAGTTAGGTATTGCTTTTACTTGTAGAAGAGTATGCGGATTTTGTCGTAGTTGGAGGTACTTTACCCAAGTTTGACCTTTTGACTCATCAAATTTGCTACTTTGGAAAAAATAAAAAATAAAATATTATTGCAATGCGCAAGGCACATGCTCCTAACTAGTTAATTAAAAGGATCAGAATACTATCAGAAAGATGATTGTCATGCCATGGTTGTAAAGATACAACTTGAGGTTGAACTTACAAGAAGTCAACCATATGCCAAGATCTGTAGATATTACCAATCAAATGCAAGCCTTACTTTGTTTACAGTGATTGGTTTTTCAAATCAGGCGATGGATCATGGATCATACATGGTTGCCAGCAAGCGAAGACTGTTTGCTCTTGATGCAGTTATTACAACAGTCTCTGTCATGTCTAAATCGTTAGAATCAAGGCCATTTGGAAGTCTCCAGTCAAAATGGTAAAGCAAAAGAGCTAAAGGAAGCTCAACATTGGCCAAACCAAATGCAATTCCTGGGCAAATTCTCCTTCCTGCACCAAATGGTAGATACTCAAAGTGACTTCCATTGAAATCAATGGAGCTGTTTTCAAATCTCTCTGGTTTGAAAGATTCTGCATCATCCCAATACTCGGGGTCTCTTCCGATTGCCCAAGCATTAACCAAGACTCTTGTTTTGAAAGGGATAATATATCCATCGATTTCACATTCCTCCCTACACTCTCTTGGAACCAACAAAGGGACTGGAGGGTGTAACCTTAGAGTTTCTTTAATCACTAACTTCAGGTATTGCAGTTGTTGTTGAACATCAATTTCTTCAATTGTGTTTTTTCCTCTGAAAACTTTCCTTATTTCACTCTGTGCCTTAGTCATCACACCTGGATTTCTGATCATCTCGGACATCGCCCACTCCACTGTTGCGGATGAAGTTTCAGTTCCCCCTGTAAACACATCCTGCATCAAAGTCAATGCCAAAATTATTTGTAAGAGACTAAAAGATGTAATGGTAGTAAGCAAAAAATTGGTTAAACACTTACAGAAAGAACAGCTTTGATATTGTCCTTGGTAAGTGGGATTTGAAGCTCACCGCTATCTTTAACTCTTAGCAGGACATCAATTATGTCTTCATTGTCCGATGCACCTGTTGCTATTTTTGTTCTTGCTAAGTTGTCCATATGCTGATCAATTATTTTGTCCAGAACTTTATCTAGCTTATAGCGGATATTTATCATTTTATTCTTCACCGAAAGGAAGGGATGAAGAATCTTGAACGATGGTAACAGATCAGAAACATCGAAGGCACTTGCTATGGAAGATGATTCCTTGATTAGCTGAAAGAATGCAAAATGATCGTCTTTGCTTACTTTGCCGAATGCTGCTCTGTAGAGAACCGAACTTGTGTATGAAGACATCTTTTCCGTTAAATCAATTGATTTTCCAGCTTTAGCCAGAGCCTTAATCGATGAGACAAGATGCAAAGCCTCATCTTGCCGAATAGATCCAAATGATCGGACACTTTTAGTACTAAGGAGTTCCAAGGTGCATATTTTGCGCATTTGTCTCCAGTAGTCACCATATGGACAGCATGCGATGTCCGAACAATTATACAACAAAATCTTTCCTGCTAGACTTTCTCCACGATTTGCAAAGGCAAGATCATGAGTTTTCATAATCTCTTTTGCTAAGCGGGGCGATGTTACCACAATCGAAGAAATTTCACCTAGCTGAATGTGCATCAGAGGTCCATATTTTTGAGCTAATTTTCTGAGAGCATGATGCGGTGGAGAACCTAACAAATGATGCATATGTCCTATAATAGGTAGTTTCCATGGGGATGGTGGTAGTTTCTGGGCTGTTTTTGATCTCTTCAATACCTTGATGAAAGTTAAAACAAAGGCTATGAACAGAAAGAAAGCAGTGAAGTTGAAGGGTAAATCCATTCTTTGGCTCTCTTGCTCTCTTTGCAGTTTGCACTACTTTTACGACTTTTTCTGCTCGCAAAATTACATATCAATACAGTAGGTATATGGATTACCATAGAAGCTTACTACATATATTCATGAGGGTACAAGTTACTTTCTAAGAGTTAGTTCTTAATTAGTTATCTCAATTATCCAGCACAACTTCTATGTCATATAATCTTTGTCAAGTTATACTGGTCCAATATTGTAGGTCAAACGTCAACATCTGCACAAATTGATAAATAGTACAAGTATGATAAACTTAAAATGTTTTTAAGGATATAATTTACTTGCTAAAAATTGAATCTTCATTTAATTATCTCGCCGATTGGTTTCAACTTACATATCATCTTCATTGAATAATAATAATGATTGATAATGGATAATCAGATCATGCAAGTATGATAATCACTGAGAATTAAATAAAGTAGTTTGGCTATCAGCTGAAGTGTCTCACAAATAATGAATTCCAAAGTGTTGATAGCATTGAACTGTTTCGAATCTCTTGCCGTTTTGTTGACATAAGCTATAAACGAGGAATAGGACAAAAAACAAAGCAATGAAGTTGAAGGGATGTTGCATTATTGCTGCCTGTATTTTTCATTTTGGCATCGTTGATTCTAAAGCCTTTGTTGATAAAACGTGCACATATCATTTTCACCGGGGAAATCATAAGGTGTATATTGGCCACATTTAGAATATAGAATAGGAACAAAATTGTTGACACTGAATTAATTATTCGAATATCACATTGGTTAATCCAAACTTACATAGTACCGCCTGTGAGTACCAACTACCCCTTCTGACCTATTAAAACTGTAATACTTTCTATTTTGAAATGTTTCAAAATATTTATCATGTTAAGAATGTTAAAACACTTTTTAATCTTTTTTTTCAATATAGTCCCTCCTTTTAATTATGTGCATATCACCATTCAAATTCAAATTATGAATTTGTGTGGATAAGATTAGAAAGAAAAGCACAACATGTATTCAAACCACTATTCTTAAAAAGTTTGATTCTCGAAACATTACAAAATAATCTTAGAAATAGGAGGGAATAACATTTAACTGATCTTAGAAGTCAATTGTTTTACCATTTTCATTCTTATGGGGGATCTTTTTTCCAATTGGCTCGTGTTGGTGTTACTAATGCCAGGGCAATTTTCTTTTCAAATGATGGATTTACCCTTTATAATTGGACCTTTTTTATTTTTACCATTGAAGGTTATATTTGACATTTTTGGAAGATAATTGTTATGACCAAAATGATTAATGATGTATTTTCTGAATGTCGCGCAGCATTTTTGAAATAAAAGGAAAGGTGTTTAAAAATGAGTTTTTGATTTTAGAAAATAATGAAAAATGGCCTAAATGGGACTTAGAAAATGCAACCGTTTGGGGCCAAAATAACAGTCTAAAAAAGGGTTTTTAGAAAAGGAGAATCACCACTTGGTATCGAGTTTAGATTTACTAAATCATCCAAAAAATATTTACAAAAAATGAAAATATATAAAACCCTTTTAAACGACTCCAAGTGTTTGAAAACGAGAGAAAAGGGTTCGGAAGTTGTGGTTGAAGAAAGGAAAGGCAAAGATTTGATCGACTCAAATCTAAAGCACCCTTTCAACCTAACCAAGATTAGTTGCGAGATTTAGTCAAAAATTTTCGTAATCCAACCTCTTAACTTATCACATTTGGATGCTTCTATATATAGATGCAAATCT